AGCTTTCTTATCATCGTATTTGACAAGTCAGAATTAAACCCTAGGCCTATTGGGCCTAGGGTTAGATAACTTAAAGGCGAAGTCACCACCGAAACCTATTCCGACTAGGTTTACAGAAACATGTAACACCACCTCTCTATAAAGAGGTGGTGCATCTCCCATAATTGATATCTTCTACATATCTTCTACACCTTCTACAGACGATATACATCCATCTCTCTCTATTATCTCTATTTCCTTATTGACTTAAGTATCAGAGAGTCTACCCTTGGGGAACACCCGAGGCTCTGTCTTGTAGGTTTTAGGCCGTCCGCTGCCGCCTAGATAATCATCGCCGCCCGTCCTAAAGTACCGTGCAGATCCATGATTCGTCTAGTGGCACGCCCAGTGGGACGCCGAGTCTCGAGAATATGGGTTGCTATGAGCACTTGACGAGTCAAAATTATACCCTAGGCCTATTGGGCCTAGGGTTAGATAACTTAAAGGCTAAGTCACCGCCGAAATCTATTCCGACTAGGTTTACAGAAACAGGTAACACCGCCTCTATACAAAGAGGTGGTGTCTTTCTCATAATTGATATCTTCTACCTATCATCTACACCTTCTATACACAATAAACATCCCTCTTTCTCTATTATCTCTATTCCCTTATTGACTTAAGTGTCGGAGAGTCTACCCTCGGGAGTCACCCGAGGCTCTATCTTGTAGGTTTTAGGCCGTCCGCCACCGCCTAGATCATCATCGCCACCCGTCCTAAGACACCATGCAGATCCATGCTTCGTCAGTATTTTTTCATTGTTTTGATTATTGCTCTTTGATGGAGTGGATACTTTTATGTTTTAATTTTCGAAAAACTTTTCTTTTTAATCGGGTATGAAATTTGGATGTTATTTTTAAGTTCATTTTAGTGTTTTGATTATTGATCTTTTAATATTCTAGGATGTGTCATTAGAAAATAATGTATATGCAATTTATTTTAGTCATGGACTTTCGGCTTCGGGTATATAATTAGAATTTAGAAAATATGTATTCTCTCTGTCCTAAAATTATAATCCAGTTTGTCATTTTACTTTTAATACGATTTAAACTATAAGTGAAAATCCAAACTAGACATTGATTATGGGAGAGAGGCAGTATTTTGGTTCTTTGTTTAAATTTGGTTTGGATACAATAATAATAACAAGCCCAAATACATAATTTGATTGGGCTAAATTGAAGGCTTCAAATTTCACCTGGACAGTTGGGCTTGAATGCTGCTGGATTTTAAAATTAAAAAAAAAAACAGAAACGGCTCGAATTGGAAACCGGACCGAAACCGCTAAAAACCGACAAATCAAAACCGGTAGAATCCAATAATAATCGGTTGATTAAATGGTTTTGATTAAAAAAGACAAATCAGAATTAACCAAAATTGATTAACCGAAAAATTGATTAACCGACTGGTTAAACAGGCCTAGGGCTGAGAAGTGAAAACGTTTGTAGCTCCCGCTCGCTAGTTCTTCTTGTCTTTAAGTTTAGCGTTTAGATTAGTGCACAAACATGATCATTAGTATAGAGATTGCAAAGTTCATTATGCCGTAACCATTTTATTTAATTAATTTAAGTCGACTAGAAATTTCGAATCTAGACCACAAAATTAAAAAATCCGGTTTAAAATAATCGTGACACTAATTTTTACCAGAATATGTTGGGAAGGGAAAAAAAGCCACACCTAAATTGGTGTGGGATTAGGATAAGCACTAGTATACTATGTGTCGTACCCTATATGCCACACTCAAAATAAACTTTGAAGAGAATGAACTTTTAAGTATTAGTTAAGCTAACCTAACATTATTTAGGATATGACACGTACCCTAAATGGAGTTATCAATCATTCCCACTCGATGGGGTTTTCACATCAAGTACTGATCGATTACAATAAAAGGAGTCTCAACTACCTCTATTGATTTTAGTACATTAAAGGCTTAAAGTAATCTCTTCAGTTGACCCTTAATACTTGTTTTTTTTTTTTGTTTATAAAAAATAAAAAAATTAATTCCTCCAATTCGTTCGTAACTTGCTGATCTTGCATGAATAACTTTCAATCATTCATCAATCAGTGATTCAGTGCATGGTTTTATTCCCAAAACAGTACCCCAATAGGATATCAGTAAAATGATTTAGTGGATGTAATAGTACTATTTGAAGTATTTTGATCAATATTATATGCGTAAAATCATTTAGTGGTCGCAATAGTACTATTTGAAGTATGCTGATCATGATCATGATATAAGTCTTGCGAATATTACTTAATTCTTAATTAATTGATTGTGCGGTTTCTCAACAAATAATCCATCCGTTCTTTTATAACACATTTTGATTTGTTCTAAATTTAAAAATATATTTTTCTTAAATTTTATTTTCAATTGAAAAAATATATTAAATAAAATTTAGAACAATCAAAATACCTTCTTATAAGAAAGAGGGGAGTAAATGTTGGTCATTGTAAATTTTACCGCCCTCCGCCCATTAAAACTTTAAAAGCATATTTTGTCATGGAACCGCTTTCCCGCTATTTTTTTTTTTTAAACTTAAAACTTTACCGTACAGTTCGATCGAACCAGGAACCGATCGGCCTTTCCAGTCTGGTTTCCATAAAAAAAAAAAATGTCTATTTAGATAGTGGTCAACTTTGATTAAACCCTGACCACATCAAATTTGACCACGACCTAGGACCAGTTAAACGGATTTTTGTTTTTTAACATCTCGTCGCTACTCATGCAAAATCCCATTTGTCGGATGTTATAACTTGATCTTCACTGCTAAGTTTCATGTGTGAATCAGAATTGGCTGATTTCAGTAAATTTAATCAAATATTTCCTTATTTTTTTAATAAGAATTTTGTGGAAATTTTAGTCTTTTTAATTTTCTCATGAGACCATTCCGCTCAGTCGAAGTGATCAACTTCGAAAATATAATGAATGATTTTTTTTTCTTTTTTTAACAAGAGAAGTAAAATATTAATCAAAATAAATTTAACATTGGTTTGACACTATATTTTCAAAACTGGATTGGAAGACAACAGACAACCGAGCAGGGGTCATTGGATTGTTCGTGTTCGACCGGTTAGATCGATCATAGGAACTAATTAAAATCGGTAAAAAAATATTAATAATTAAATTTTCAATAAAAATTCATAAATCCGGTTTGTGAATATTGTAATTGATGTTGTCAATAATGGGAATGTACAGAATAGGTGTGTCAATATTAGATTGCAGGGACTGGATCAGTTGTCATTATTGTAAATAGCCGGTTTTAGTTGTAAATATTTTAGTGGTAGTTATGCAGGTTAGTTGAAGTGTAACTAGGGAATATACTTACGGTTGTATGTGTAAGAAAACAGAAAATCAAATTATACAGTTTTTCTCCCAAATCGCGATACACACACTAAACACACGCACTAGCCGTAACTTCCAAATCTGAGATGTCTTCAACTCAAATTCTTTGACGGTTCAACATGTTCCCTGTTTCTTCTTGTTGAGTTACTGTTTGACCTAATTAGCATCAATGTTTCTTGCTTGTTTTTGGTTACTCTTAATAACTTCTGTTTTTTTAAATATCAATAATAGCGTGCAACTCTCAACTATTGATGATCGCTCGCATATCACAGATGCCTTGTTCAACTACCACGTCCATGAGTTTTGATCAATCGTAACTTTTTGTTCCTAACAATATGGAAGTATAGTAGATGAGAGACTTAACTAAAATTAAAACTAATGTTCGTGCATTTGAGACCTGCCATACAAGATTTTTGCAAGTTTGATTTATCCATGAAACTAATATTGATGGTGAGATACCTATGTTGAGTATCCCACATCGGTGGTGGAAGAGACTTGATATCAATATATAAGTATATGGGCTACTCTCCTCTTTGCCAATTGGTTTTGAGGTGGAACCTTATGGGCTTCTATATGGTATCAGAGCTAGTCCGCCAAGAGTCGGACTCCAAGCCTGATGTAAAAGAACTAGTAGGGCTGAGATGTGAGGCGGTGATTGTGCTGACAAGCCCAACCTAAAAGGAGACGTTGAGCTTACGGGGGAGTGTTGAATATCCCACATTTGTGGTGGGAGAGACTTGATATCAGTATATGGGCTACTCCCCTTAGATGGGCTACTCCCTAATTGACGGGGAAGTGTTAAGTATCCCACATCGGTGGTGGGAGAGACTTGATATCAATATATAAGTATATGGGTTACTTCTCTCATTGCCAATTGGTTTTGAGGTTGACGGGAGAGTGTTGAGTATCTCACATCAGTGGTGGGAGAGACTTGATATCAATATATAAGTATATGAGTTATTCCCTTCATTGCCAATTGTTTTGAGGTGGAACCTATGGGCTTCTATAACCTACTCTATATTAGAATCCGGATTTATCAAGGAAGTGATTTTGAATTGCTGGCACGTAATTAATACTATACCAAATTCAAGAGAGAGATAGACAATCAATTGTCACAGTAACTTTGCCATGTGTAACTTTTGATTATAATGATATCTCATCCGACTAGAAGGGAGCAAATAATGGGAACTTCGCTGGAATTCAGATTAACAAATTAAGATCTCTTACATTAAAATATAAAAAATGTAGTCCAATTTAATATAGTGTTTGGTTTAAAATAAAATATTAAATTGAGATGAGAGAATATTTTATAAAAGGATACTCAATGGCCTTTGGGACTGTGAAAAAAATAAAGTAAAAGGTCCCACGTTAGTTTGGTTAATCGCAAAATATATATGAACATATTGTTTTCCACATTGAGACGGCATGATTATATGGTACAAAACCAATGAGTTAGTGCATTTATTTATTTTATTTTTTGGGAAATAATGAGTTAGTTCATTTAGTTCTTCATTATTTTTGTGTATTGATCTGTTGAATTTGAGTTGGTACCACCCACGACCACGACACATTATCCATTTTGCAGAGACAATCAAGTCAAGAGATTTTAATTTTACATAAGTTTTTCCCTTGAGATTTTTCGCATTAAGTAACCTCTTTTGAGGTGATATATAACAATTAATGACCATAATTATTAGTGCTCAAACTCGTTAGATTTAGTATAGAGGAAAACTTTTATAATTTACATTATCTTACACTGAGAACATAATCAACTCAGTGAACGATATTTGATGTTACTGCAACTTCCAAACCTTATGGCTTTTCAGGTTGAATTTCTTAAGCCTTCCAAAGAACATCACAATGATGAGAATCAATTTCCCTGTGTTGCTCCATTTTCCAGCGAATCCATACGTTGCATCTCTGCAGCTTTCACTAGCTTTTATTTGTCTTTTACAACTGTAGCCCATTGAGAAGCCAACATTTCCGTAAGCACTGCGTGAAAATAGAATATAAGAATACAGATCAATAAGAGTTAATTTCCGTCTCAAAATAAAAGTGATACTCTATAGATATATTGCAACAATGAACGTTCTTACTAATTACCTGATGACTTCAACAACAATGTTCAATAAGCTAAAATTTAGAGGGTCTTCTTTGAGTTTGTCTCTCTCAGCGATGCAGATGAGAATAATAAAAATGGCTAAATAGGTCAGTTGTGAAAATAATAGGTAGGAAATGAGATTCCTTTTCCGTCCCGCGGTCTTTTTCGGTTCAGTTGAAGAGGTTTTGGCATTCTCAAATGGAAAGAAGCAAGTGTGCGGAGGCAAATACCTGTCACCCAGAAAAAAGAAAGCACAAATAAATAAAAATAAATCTGTATAAAAATTTTGTGTCTGGGATTTTCTTATTTGTATGTACTGATCCCTCTGTCCCAAAATTATTATTCAATTTAAGATTTCACTTTTGGTACAATTTGAACCAGAAATGAAAATTCAAGTTGGACAATAATTATGGGACAGGGGAGTATTATATTTTGAAAATAATTACCATGATTTGTTGTTTGAGTCTTCTATCTTCTCTCTCTCTGTTTTTTTTTTTTTTGGTGACACTTGCACCTCGTGCATGAGAGTGGACAAACAACAAAACAATGTAGTCTTAGTCACAAGTCACATTGTAACTCGTTAATTTTACTGTATCTTTCTTCTTTCTTTCTTTTTTCCCTTATTCCCTTTGATTCGAAAAAGGCCGTCGACTTCAGCTATATATATATATATATATACATATATATATATATGTATATATATGTATAGCTAGCGAACCATGCAACCTTCTATCACCATCACTATTGATCGATCACTTACTAAAGCTCCATATAACCATTACCTCTTTTAATTTTTAAGTCTTTCAAAACCTTTACCATTCATCATTTAATTTTTGAATTTTCAATCAGTCAAATTGGGGTACATCTGTCCCCCATTTTAATTTACTCCCTCCTCCGAAACAAATATTTTATATTGTGTTTTGTGATTATTTTTTTTTTTCAACATAAACGGAACTATATTCCAGTAAATCACCACAATCCTTCGATCGTAGTACACTTTTGTACTACGGAAGTCATCAACAGCTTAATATGTATCAAACGCAATTTTCTTGATAAGCGGAATATAATATTCCCTCCACTTCATATTATTTATTGGTCGGTGACTCGGCCATTCTGACAAGCTGAAAATGGAGAATATGCAAATGGATGGGTCCCCGTTCCTTTTAAAATCCGTTACAGAGTACCCTTTGACTAGTAATGGCATTACATATATTCACTATTCCAACCTCACCTATGATTGATTTTTATTAGTCTGTCCGTGATATAATACATATTTTATTAGTTCGGTCACAAGACAAAATCTTACTATAGCGTACTATACATTAAACCAAAAAATATACTCCCTCCGTCTCATAATTATTGTCTAATTTTTACTAAAATGAAACATTTTATTTTTAGTCAAATTTAACTATATTTTACCTTGAACAACCGGATATACCCATACATAAGTAATTGTTTAATCACAAAGATTTTAATGGATAATGTTTTTTATTACGAACAAATGTGTAACTTGATCCATAAAAAGTCAAATTGGACAATAATTTTGTGACAAAATTTTTTGGACAAAGTGGACAATAATTATGGGACGGAGGGAGTATATATTAAACAACATAGTTATTATAAAGACAGAGAATTATTTTTGCTCGCTCAAAATATCTTATAAACGCTAAAAAGCAAAAAACGAGAATAGCAAGTCGAGAGGGATTGAGGTAGGTGGGAAAACTTACATCATGATAACGAATAATACGATGATGGCTGGAGTGATTAAGGAAAGATCAAACACAGATTCGCCAGAATGCCTTGAGTTCACAACTTGGAAAAGCGTTCCCACCACCTTCTCATAAGCACTCAATCCAGAAGTGGCCTCAGAAGAATTATTCCACTCCAGAACACCGAAAACCACAAACTGAACCACCACAAAAACAACAACAGTGACAGCCAGACACGTGGAATGCAGAGAAGAGAACAGATGATCATATCCTAGGATTGCGGAGGAATTCCTGTTGCTGAGGATGGATTTGAGCTCGTCCCTTTTTGTAATCTTGTGCAACAACCACATGAAGCAACGAAGACAAGCTGGATATAATGTGTTTCCTAGTAAGATTTGTGGGATCATGATGAGTAATAGGCCAGAGTTCTTCTTGAAAATCATCATGTTTTCATTTGTTGGGATGAACCCACAATTTGCAAAGGTTGAGACTGTAGTGAATACTGAAAATGTTGCCAAATTCAGCCCTTTTTCCCTCAGGACTTTCTTAGCACTTGGAATGATTTCATAATACATGTAAATGAAAGTAGAGCCAAGAAAATGAACCAACAAGAGATAGATTAGAACCACAGAGGCTAATATGCTTGTGAAGGAGGGATTATTCATCATGATCAAATCATCTTGATCTTGATGTTGAAGATGATGATGAACCTCGAAAGATTTTTGGTCATTTTCATGAAGATCGAAAAGATTGCTGACACCGAGTTCAATTTGATCCAAGTTATCATCACTTTGGCTATTGGCTATTTTTGGGTCCTTGTTTGTCTTGAACTTGTTTAACTGAAGTCCAAGCAAAGAAGTGAAGACTTCACCTCCAAGGAACATTAAAAATGTCATGATGATGAGTTGGCCATTAGAGAAAACCTCCATTTCTACTGTGGACATGCTGGAAACTGTCACAGAAGAAACCGAAGTGAAAAACAAATCAAAGTCTTTAGGAATAAAAGATGCATCTTTTCTTGGAGTTGAGGCCTTCAAAGCCAAAAACCCTAAGGTTGAGAAGATAATGAAGTAAGTGAGCTCGATCCAGAATGAACTAACTTGAAACAAAAGTATGCGAAGAAAATGAAAAAAGAAGTTGCGGAAGCATGTGTACTTGGAACTTATAAGTTGGCTAAAAGAGAGATTCATTTCGTTTTCCTAAAAGTGAGTTAATTGTTAAGTGATACTACAACTTGTATCGGAAGCAATATTTATAGTTGAAGCATAAGTCGCCCAAGAATAATATTAATATTATATGGCTCCTCAAAGGTCATAAATTTCAATAATGCATTGACCTTTCGTCCACCAATATGATCTCCCCCAATGGATGTTGTCACACACTTACACTGGAAAAGGAAAGACCAACATGAGTTCGGAGATCAAATAGAAATTCTCATGCTTACGATATATAGGAGGTTTTGATTTTAGAGGATAGATCATAATTTATAGTTTATGTTAATCACATCTATATCACGCTCAAACTAATTACCACTTAACTCATAAAAAAAAAACAAATTTAGGAGGAGATTATTTTTGCCCAAACTTGAAACATAACGGTGCCAATATCTCAGCCAGTCAAACAAGTGTTGCGCACTAAAAAAATGGAGGTAGTATATTTGAGAGTCTTCATCGTCACAAAAAAATCGGCGTAAAACCAAATAATGAATAAGAAGAAGATATCTTCACTAATTGATGAGAAGAAGAAAGAATAATGAATATACATGTCGACGAGTACTTGTATAGCCAACATAAATAACAGATTCTATTTTTTTTTTTTCCGGTTCTGGTACGGATTATCATTTGACACATATGATGGCTCAGTTCATGCTCTCCAAGAGTTAACTACGTGCTTCGCAGAGTTAATTACTTAGAAGTTCAACATATCCTTTGGGAGACGATTTGTTGTGTCACCAATTACTTGGTTTCGCTAACTGTCTAGAGCCTAACCAAGATTATAACGACTAGTGATTCCTCTTTATAGAGTTATTTAAATCTTCGTTAAAACATTATATTATAGGGTAGTTTACTAGCCCTCGTATTATGCTAAAATTGATTCTAGATCTGTATGTACTTATTTTAATGTGTCTAAAGAAGAAAAACATTTGATCTTTAACATGAAAATAAAATAAAATAAGTTGATGATATTCTATTTAAATAATAATAATTTAAAACTTACTATTTATTTACGATGGATAAACCACTTTTTTTTTCAATTTTTTTTACCGCAACGTACATAAACTAATTCGCTCTGTACTTGGGTGGATCCATTTACATGTAAGTATTTGTCCATGCATTATGTTGAATTGAATAAAAAAGAGTGACCAAATTTCTCACTACTTGATCTGACAATTATCGGTAAAAACAATTTTCTTTTATTTTTGCAAATAAAGGTACATTATATGCATTAATCAATTGTAGAGCAACCCCAACAGATTCTGGTCAGAAAAGACGTGATCTATGATTATTATTATTATTATTATTATTATTATTATTATTATTATTATTATTACTATCATTATTATTATTATTATTATTATTATTATTATTATTATATTTATTATCTTTGAAGAATAGGAATGAATTTTATCCCAATCAATGAAAAGAAGAATAATTTATGTTATCTTACATGATCATACAAGATACATGGATGCTGAAGAGTCAAGTCTTTTAACGAATTCAATTGTTTCAAACATTAGGTGTGCTCTACTTTTTCTTCTTCTGATCAAATGTTCCTCCACAGATTCCATTTCTTGTCTACCACAATTTTATGAATATAATTGAAATGAACGTTTTGAGATCGAATTTAACCACTAAAGAGCTAGCAAATCGTTGGATTGAAACCACTTGGATTCCATCAAAGCCAACAAATCCATGTGGGTACAAAAAATATTCCCAATATATCCACCAATTGCCTAACTATTACATTTCACATTTTTCCCGTTTAATGCCTGTTTTCTCCAAGACATTGTAAGGTTCTGCCTGATATTTTGTCCCGGAAAGAAAAATGATTAAAATAGTGAATTTTGAAAGGTAATTGGAAGGCATAAATAATAATCTGGAATAATAAATTTGATAAAAATGATTTAGAAAATGATATTGCGTTTTTCTATGACAATAATGCGCACTAGACAGAAAAACATTGTATTCTTCTTTTGTTGGTATTTGTAATTGTCCTGAGTGAAGAATTCTGTGTGTATTGCACTATAAGTATAGTTCGGGAATAAATATTTGTCCGAAGAGGTGTATATTTCATTCAGTACGTACCCTTCCCTTGGGAGACAACTTCCCATTGTATAGTAAACTTGTTCTAGCACCGCCGCACGACACATTCTGTTAATCGTTTTAGCTTATTAATTTTGTTTTTGCGAGAAGTTGGATGACATTAATGATGATGATTTACAATTACATTGTTTCTCGTTATATATAAAGTACAATATATTGATTTTATTTTATTATAAGAATTGAGGACAAAAATAAGTCTTTAATGATGATGTGACGCATTAATGGTGGTGTTTCTTTTTTATTTTTGTGTTCTCTTACAAGTTTGCGTTGATGTTTTAATCTCTCTCTCTCTCTCTCTCTATATATATATATATATATATATATTTTGTTGTTTATCATGTGTTGAAGATGGACAATTAACGTAATATGAAAGAATAAGTTACGTATCTAACATTTTACATGGTGATAGCAACTACTTAAAATTTTAACCTTGGAATACACTAAATTATATTTAAGTACTCCCTCCGTCCCATAATTATTGTTCAGCTTGAGTTTTCATTTCAATCAAATTGTACTAAAAGTGAAATTTCAAATTAGATAATAATTTTGGGACAGAGGGAGTAGTTATTTTATAATTATGAGAGGATATCATCTATTTAAGTTGTTGTGAGGTGGAATATCTCTTTAAAATGGCATTTTCAGTTTTTGTATCTTCAACACCATCGTCTAAAGTAAGTAACACCAGATGAATCTCGCCAAAACGAAAAAGATATTGCTTACGAAACAAATATAATGAAGAAAATAATAAGGAAGCAAAACAAATTGTCAAAAGAAAATGACGATGGGCAGAAAAACAAATTAACAGGCATTAATCACAGAAAAATTTTAATGCACTTTGTCTGAAAGTTGTCCAAATTCACGAGACCTTTTGCCAGCAAATACAACAATCCTTTGATGCTATTTCTTAGTTTGGCGATGCCTTTTGAGCTAACTGTAATAAGGATAGACTTTTTTTGATGATAATAACATCTACTAAAAGTTTAGATTAGTCGGTGCCAGTTCATTCCCAGCCGCCAAGCTCATCTCGCTCCTATTTATACAGCTGATGAATAGTTCCTACATGCAGACAACAAACAAAAAACTATATCCTTAAAAGTCTAGCTAGTACAAGATAGCAATCCATTCCTAACAACTTCTAATATTAGGTTGCTTTGCCATGCCTGTAAAAGTTAAACCGGGCCTCAATCTTACCCAACTACATACTCGGTTATTATTATAATATATATTTATTTGTTCCAATCATTATAAAAAAATTTAATATTTTGTTTTCAATTAGAATATACTGTAGAAAACCTAAGACAAATAAAACAAAATTATATATGTTTCAGGGTTTTTTATGGGTTATGCTCAATATTCCTTCTTTTAGGGTTTTTATGCTTAATATTCTACTCAAAATCAAAACCTCTTTGTACATCTGAACAATACTACTCCTCTAAATAAGCGCTCCTTAAAATAGAGGACACAAACTCATCTTTTGGAGAAAAGAACCAAACCCAAGAAAGAATGACCTAACTATTATACAGAACCATAAAAACGGCCTAAACCTGGTGCGATCTCTCTTGAATCGTATGGAATCTGTCACACAATAGGTACGGCGATGCAGACCGATGATTAACTTCCGGCCGTTGACTGGAAGAACGCTATGATGAATTGTTTTAGGGGAAAAGAGGCCACATGATGCACAATAAGTTGTGAATTCCAGACAGGCTTGAGAGTTGGGTGAAACTTTTCCATGCATCTCGATTATTGATATTTTAATTAAGGATGGATAGAGATTTTGATCCTGTAGGTGGGCGACAAGGCATAGCTCCCGGATGAATGGTATCAGCCAGGGTGGTGGTTTGGATTCCGGCCTGGTTTCCTTGCTCGTCTGTTTGCCTGGTCTTACTGGCTAAGATAAGCACTGGCCAGGCCCCAGCCCCACGCCAACTTGAATCAAACATTTGGCTTTTGTTTACATAAATTATACATGGAAGCTCTATCTCCTTCTTCTCTTTTAATTAAAATACGATGATTTGAGATTGGTTCCAATCCCGAGTTCAGTCGGAAAACTCAACAATAAGTGCATTGGGCTGGAAAAGTACCCGCTATGATGAATTGTTTTAGGGGAAAAGAGGCCACATGATGCACAATAAGTTGTGAATTCCAGACAGGCTTGAGAGTTGGGTGAAACTTTTCCATGCATCTCGATTATTGATATTTTAATTAAGGATGGATAGAGATTTTGATCCTGTAGCTGGCTGACAAGGCATAGCTCCCGGATGAATGGTATCAGCCAGGGTGGTGGTTTGGATTCCGGCCTGGTTTCCTTGCTCGTCTGTTTGCCTGGTCTTACCGGCTAAGATAAGCACTGGCCAGGCCCCAGCCCCACGCCAACTTGGTATCAGAGCGGTTATGTATTTTTTATGTTTACAAAAGATTTGTTTGATTCAGAACCTAATTTAAAAATGAATAATTTAGAAACTACTTCAATAAAAAATTCAGTTCAAGAGGAATATGATATGCCTCAACAGCTTGCTCTTCTTAATAAGTGGTCTATACCAAAGGTACCCACTAATACTTTGTATGAATATGGTATGTTTGATCGATACTTGGTTAAACAGGTAGTTAAAACTACTGAACAATCAATTGCTTTAAATTCGATGAAAGGGTTTTACAACTTTTGTCTACTGAGATATTGAATCTTATAGATCTCATAAAAATTATAAGTTCATGCATATTGGATTGGTGCAAATTGCATTTAAACCTTTAACTTTAGAAAGTTTACCTGAATCTTTTGTTGTTGCCTTACGTGATGGTAGAAATTTACATTGGAAAAAATCCTAATGGGCATAATACTGATCCAGCCTAGCTCATGGTCCAGTTTATTTTAATGTCTACCCAAATTTACAGTTATCATTATCTGATGTTAATATACTCGATGCTTTAACCTTAAATGTGAAATTACATGGTTACAATTATTTACCGGGAAGTGAACTTATTTGTTTACATTACCGTATTTGTTTTAAATTACTAAATACCTTAA